TTCTCGGCATTCTAATAACGTACAGGCAGTTTTTTGACAACAGTCGACATGGCAGTTTCTCGGCATTCTAATAACATACAGGCAGTTTTTTGACAACAGTCGACATGGCAGTTTTCTCAGCATTCTAATAACATACAGGCAGTTTTTTGACAACAGTCGACATTAAAAATGCTATCCTTTGTTGTAAATACTGTTTAGAATATACAAGAAATAAACATTACACATATAAGCTATAGCAGTGTAACAAAATGGGTAAAATATACATCAAGTTATACACAGCATACAGAAACATTGTCAGATGTGTTACGATAAAACTTCTCCATATAACTTAGTAGTTTTAACGTAACACTTGCTTTAACTTTCACATTTATACAATATATCTTTTAACTGTAAAATCGTATTCAGAAACCGGCAACATTTGGTTTAGTTTTGTGAGAACTTAGTTTTGATTATATGCTTTTATGTTGACTTAATTTCCAAATTTTCCCAGGTTTCAAGGGAGTGAAACTTGTACAGAACTTTTGTTAAGCCATTTTGGAAAAGAAATTGTACATCTTCGCGACAAGAAAGGCAGGTGTGTTTATCTTAACGTTCTCTAATGCTTTTATACTTCAACCAGTTTATGTGCTGTATTGTATGTAAAAACTAGATTGGAAAGGGGGTGAACAACGCATCAATCTGATATAACTTGCTATGTTATTCTTTATAGAATTAGTTACTAAGAAATAAATATTTTGTGATGTGTGTGTATAAAATACTCATTGTTTTCTTGCACATGAAAGGGGCAGTCTTAGATAATTAAAGTTGAAATGTAGGATCAGTGAAAATAAAAACTTGGGTAAACTTATACACAGACTTTTCTCTCTCTGTTAAAATGAGTCTTAAACAACACCTTGGATAAACAGTGATTTTTTTTTTCATTTTGTGCTCATATTATATGTTGAATGTAATAATACTCAAGACCCGTACTTGAAGTAATTTCAGTATCTGCATTACAAAATGTAAAGGTATTCCTTGTCATGTAAAGTTTTAGTTATTTTCATGTATTTAACTTATATATTTCTAGAATACACCAAAATTTGACTAATCCCCTTTTGTTAACTGAGTTTCCCCAAGGAAGCTAAGCCACGACGCTTCAACACAGCAAACTCTTTACAAATGAGCATAAATAAAAAATGTTTTATTTATTATTATAAGTGTAGTATGATAGCTTCAACAAAAGAATTTGACACATTACATGGTGTACTGGATCATATTAGAGCAGAATAAGATATTTTAAAGTTTTAAGAAATTTGGTTTTGTAGTGTAATCTACGTAGTCAAATTATAATAATAATTATGACTTGGTTTTTTTAATGAATTAATAATGTATAAAGCTTTTTATCTCTTATCTTCAGAACTCCGCTTCATGCTGCAGCATTTCACGATAGTCTGCTCTGCTTACAGCTTTTGCTTCGAGAAGGGGCCAAAGTTGATGCCTTTGATGTATATAATCAAACTTCACTAATGCTAGCAGCGATCAGTGGTCATTGCAAGGCAATTGGTAATGTCGTATTTTCTCCTTTCGATTTCTCAACTACAAATATGGATTAATTGTTTTCTTTATCAGCTACCGACATTTTGTCTCCATTTAAAAATTGTTTTCTGCTTTTTGAGATTAAACAATACCTGTAAAATAAAATATTTTTAATTTGGTTTTTATTGTAAGATAATCATTTAGATTCTGTTGTTTGGTACTATGTACGTTTGTATCATCATGTAAAATTTACCAATCGTGCTTAGACTGATTAACTGGTTTGACTTAGAATCTGTGAAATGTAATAACTGTCGATGTCAAGTTGTTGAGCTGATGCAGATTACAGGATTAATTAAACCCATATTGTCCTTTGTGTTGAGTTTTAATTAATCAGTCATATGTTTCACAATAAAATACATGAAATAATTTAGACAAGCGTAAAATCAGACATGAAGTAAATCCTCATTCATGCTCTGTTAATGTATGTGCTGATAAGTATCCAGAACAAATATTTTATATATAATATTTGCCACATCTGGTTTGGCCAAACAAGAAACTTTGATTACAAGTGAGTTTTCCTGAAAGACACATGTAGCAGAATAGAATAAAACAAGAAAGAGTGGATCTGAATAACGTTTGTTAGGAAATTTTTGAACTTGAATCAAACCGTAACCAGTTATCCAAGTTGTAACGTGCCCCCCATAATAACAGTTTATTACTAACAGTCCTATTTCTTTTTAACCTTCTGTGTTCAATCTGTGCACATTTTAAGCACTCTGTAATGATAGTTATATACCAAGTATTTCATAAGTTATCACATCACACATACATATATATATATATATATATATATATATATCTATATACATGACTGTGAAGCTAGAATCCTGTATTTTGAAGTGTTGTGTTCAGTTCAGTAGAGAAAGAAGCGTGTGTATATAATACATTTGTTACATAATTTCTGAGTAAGTATTCCATTAAACTAACAGTTTGAGAAAAAATGTCAAGAAGCCATAATAGCTGGATCTTAGAGAAAAAGTAATAGGATCAGGTTGTCATTGAAAACTTCTAATTGGGACCAAGCCGTATAACTATCAAAATATAGTTGAGAGCTGGAAATTTGTAATCTTTAGTAGGTTAAACTACCAATAAATTAAACTTGTAGCACAAAACTTGCCAAACACAAACTGGGCAACATTGAAATCCATTCATAATCCGTTGAAATGCATATAAAAATAATAAAAAAGGCTTTTAGATATGGCTAATTTTAAAAGTAATATTCTTGAAAATCGAAGTTGTTAAAGCTGCACTGACCAAACTGAAAAGGTAGAAATTTTCTTATTTTGTTGTCTGTGCCTAAAAAATAATGGTTTCATTAGCATGATGGGCTGGGGTGTGGCCAGGTGGTTACCATGATGAACGTGTGTACCCAAAGTCTGTGGATCACCTCCAGCTACTATATATATATAAAATTAATAACAACAACACTTCACATATTGGGGGCATAGGTTCAATATAAGAGTAATTAACAAAACCCATTATTTGATTACAGTAGAGCAGCTAAAGAATTGGGATTAAATGGATGCTGTTGACTAGCTGCTGCCTTTCTAATCTATCAGTTGAAAATTAGAAATATTTAGTGCACATAGCCCTTGTGTTACTTTGTACAAATGTTCAAAAGGAAGAAGGGAAAATATACGTAACCAAGGAATAGTTGCATGTACAAGAGGCATTGCTATGCACTGACACATGACCTGATTCTATTTGAAAGTGCCCTGAATCCATTTGGTGCTTTTGGAAAATCAGAATAGAAAACCATGATTGATATCGTTCTGAAACTCCTAAAATTCCTGCATGTTCTTGGCCTGAGCCTAGAATCTTTTAAACATCTAGTGATGCCTCTGATTATACTATTATTGACCATCCCATTACCATTCATGCTTTCTAATGTAAAGAATGTTTTCACGGGATTGACCATCCCATTACCATTCATGCTTTCTAATGTAAAGAATGTTTTCATGTGATTGACCATCCCATTACCATTCATGCCTTCTAATGTAAGGAATGTTTTCACGGGATTGACCATCCCATTACCATTCATGCTCTTTAATGTAAAGAATGTTTTCACGGGATTGACCATCCCATTACCATTCATGCTTTCTAATGTAAAGAATGTTTTCACGGGATTGACCATCCTATTACCATTCATGCTTTCTAATGTAAAGAATGTTTTCACGGGATTGACCATCCCATTACCATTCATGCTTTCTAATGTAAAGAATGTTTTCATGTGATTGACCATCCCATTACCAATCATGCTTTTTAATGTAAAGAAGGTTTTCATGTGACTGACCATCCCATTACCATTCATGCTTTTCAATGTAATGAATGTTTTCACGGGATTGACCATCCCATTACCAATCATGATTTCTAATGTAAAGAAGGTTTTCACGGGATTGACCATCCAATTACCAATCATGCTTTTTAATGTAAAGAAGGTTTTCACGGGATTGACCATCCAATTACCAATCATGCTTTTTAATGTAAAGAAGGTTTTCACGGGATTGACCATCCAATTACCAATCATGCTTTTTAATGTAAAGAAGGTTTTCACGGGATTCACCATCCCATTACCAATCATGCTTTTTAATGTAAAGAATGTTTTCACGGGATTGACCATCCCATTACCAATCATGCTTTTTAATGAAAGGAAGCATGTAAATGATTTACCCCTACTTCAGAATTCTACCTGATCACCGTATTACTAGCTGCTAGTAAAGTTAAAATACAGCTGTTAGGAAGTTGCTGTGTTTCCTTGTTAAAAGCACTTGTTTTTATGTGTTGGCCCTCTGTAAGGACTGATAATAATGTAATATCCTTGCCAGTATATTTGAATGTCCAGAAAAGGAACATTGTCATCTTTTTTGGACAGTGTACTTGATTTGATCTTCTATGGAGCTGGAACTTAGATGGAGTACAATTCTCTAAGAATTTTTCACCCTTCTCTCAAATCATCAAACTTTCAGAGCTTAATATGTAAGTTTTTAGCTGCTCATAGAATGGCTCTGAGTTTTCCAAGTGCAATCTTTTAGGTCATAGCTCCATCATCTCTTGACTGATGTGGGATCTAATTACAGTTTTGGACTCTGGAGTCAAACCCTTTCAATTGATGTATTTGACCATGCCCAAGGTCTCATAGATTAATTTACTCAAATTCTGCCTGAAAGAATTTCAATTTGAGGGTAGGCTGGTAGAGATCCTGATGAATAATAAAATCAAATCAGGTATATGTACACCTCATGCTTAATATTGCTGGTGCACAAAAATAGAACTAATAAAAAGGAAAAAAAGGTCTTGTAAATTAATTTACTCTAATGTAGTCTAAAAGAATCTCAAGTGCCATGGCTGTTGAGGATTCCCTCTTGTTAATGAAAAGCTTAAAGTTCATTAAGATAACCCATCAGTTTGTTCAAATAATGAACCTTTAATGAGAAAAGGTTCTTTCTGTAATGGTACAAAATGAGTTTCCATGAAAATATATCTACTTACAAAATAGTAGAATACACGTTTTTAAAATCAGTTAGATTCTAGCTACCCATAAAGAAGTTGTTCTCAAGATTTACAAATTAAGTTTGAGATTTAGACCTCTTGTTTGTTGTATACGATATTCTTGCTATACCGTTTCCAAGTTCTCTTTACTCTTCAAACAGAAATCATCTGCAGTTTAATGCAGCTTTTAAAAAACATTTTAGATGTTTCTAGAAGATACAGAGACAAACTTGCAACCAATTAGCCAAATTTCACATGCTGTATGTACTTTCCAAAAATCCTGTAAGGCAAAATGCTCAGAATCATTAGATTAAGACTAGGAGTTAACAAAGCTATTATTCTCTGCTAAGCTATCTGTAATCAACTGACAGTTTAACAGTGGGGTCACAGATCTTTCTGTAATCAAGACAACTTAACAGTGAGGTCATAGATCTTTCTGTAACCTAACAGTTTAAAAGTAGGGTCACAACTCTTTCTGTAATCAACTGACAGCTTAACAGTGGGGGTCACAAATCTTCTTGTAATCAACTGACAGCTTAACAGTGGGGTAACAAATCTTTCTATAATCAACTGACAGTTTAACAGTGGGGTCACAAATATTTCTATAATCAACTGATAGTTTAACAGTAGGGTCACAAATCTTCTTGTAATCAACTGACAGCTTAACAGTGGGGTCACAAATCTTTCTATAATCAACTGATAGTTTAACAGTAGGGTCACAAATTTTTCTGTAATGAACTGACAGTTTAACAGTAGGGTCACAGATTTTTCTGTAATGAACTGACAGTTTAACAGTAGGGTCACAAATTTTTCTGTAATGAACTGACAATTTAACAGTAGGGTCACAACTCTTTCTGTAATCAACTGACAGTTTAACAGTAGGGTCACAAATCTTCTTGTAATCAACTGACAGCTTAACAGTGGGGTCACAAATCTTTCTGTAATCAACTGACAGTTTAACAGTAGGGTCACAAATCTTTCTGTAATCAACTGACAGCTTAACAGTGGGGTCACAAATCTTTCTGTAATCAACTGACAGTTTAACAGTAGGGTCACAAATCTTTCTGTAATCAACTGACAGTTTAACAGTGGGGTCACAAATCTTTCCACTTGGCATAAACCTCTGAAGATGAGATATTGACAGCATTGTGGACATTCATTTTGAGAATTCCTGTTTCATCTTAGCTTCAGCCACAACATCAGTTATATTTTCTGGCTATTACTCGAAGGATAACCTGATATTCCTTTCATAGATGTTAAGATAAACCAATTAATTGTCAGTAAGTTCTCAAAGCAAAGGCATGTAGAGTACTTGAATTCCAAGTCTTCTCTCAGTCACCTAACAAAGTTTAATATTTTACATCATCAATCAAATTTCAAAATTAATTGTTCAAACTTTTTAGCTACTAAGTTAAAAAACATAAAAACTAATAGATGCCATATTAAAAGCTTGTGTAGAGCAGGAACAATCTTGCAGAAAACTCAATTACCACTTCATTTAAATCCACACAGAGTATTTTAATTATGCATTATCTCATTGAATGAAAAACTAACAGGTTTTACTTGTGACCATAACATAATATACACAATCTTTTTCGTCTACAGAGGTTCTGCTCGAACACAAAGCTGATGCAAATTTCCAGGATAAATTGGGCAATACAGCCCTCCACCATGCTTGCCTTCAAGTAAGTGGTTTACACATTTCTCTCAGATGTTGATTGCATTAGTTTAACATATAAAAAACATGACATAATTTCAAAAACATTTAAGTGTGATTCTAGTCTGAAGAAATTTCCGAGGTTTGTTATTGTTGGAGTACGTGTCTGAGTGAAATGTAGTTTTCTTATTTTAATCCACAATGTAAGAATTACAACCAACAAAAGTGATGTGCTCCTTCTTAAAGAATATTGTTAGATTCTGTTGTTTAGAAATAAAAACAAAGAACCATATAGTGTAATTCAACCACTCCCTCATTGTTTATTCTCTTGTAATGCTTTATGTTATAATCTGTTCCTTTAAGTTACACATGTACCCTATGTATAGTGTCTCAGAGCTGTGAGTGCTATGTTGTATTTATTATGTATTTTGAGTCGTTTTCTTCAGCCTACCCTATGCTGATTCATAATATTTTGGCATCCTGTCATCTGTGGCATTGAATAGGTGTGTTGTGAAAATCACAGTTGCAAAGTATTGAGGGTCAAATGAAAAATATAAGTAATAGAAAATAAAAGGGCTTAGTTCTATATTTAGGTTACATATTATCAAAGAAATGTACTTATATATTAATATGTTTGTTTTCTCAAATCAAGTTGTTAGCAGTCCCATGTTCCAGTATTTTATCTTAATGTTTGAAAGAATGAAATAAATGTGTAATAAGTACAGGTGCAGTAGTACATATCTGAGTTTAGCAAGACCTAGACATAATATCATGGGTCTAACATGGTTTATTTATCATGTTACAAAATTATTGACATATTGCAGAAAGTGACTATTAAAGAGAAATAAAAAGTAGCATAGAATATAGATACAACCTATTAAAATAGTGTTTAATTTATGAATAATACAATTTATACATCTACTAGTAATATTCATTCATGACGTATATAAGAATGTTGATATGGTAGGATATTTTCTTCATCATGCTGTCCTTCTTGTGACAAGACTTTAAGTTTTCAATTATTTTCTTATAATTGTGTTATCATAAATGTTATTAAAAATCGACAAATACCTCAAGATAATGTAAGTAATAATACTGTAAATGATTAAAAACTGTATATTATAGATTTCTGTTCATGTAATTACTGTTTTTGATTTTGTACATCTATACATATCAAGCTAGCATTGGTTATTTTATATGAATGTGACGACGTTACAACTCCTGAGGATGATGTTGTAACATTGAAACATGTAGAGTCGTCAACTTTTTGAAGGCCACAGATAGGCCTAAATAAAATGTTTTAATTGTGTACCAGTTTAACATTCAATATTATTTATGATTTTCCACCTGTAGTGTTTCATATTGGTTTGGTTATTATACAGCAACCCCATATTTTGTCCAGCATTCTGTGTCTAAAATGTAAAACACTGGTGTTAGGATGTAAGGAATATGTTCTGATACATATTGTTAGTCTGGTTGTCTATAGTTTGATATGTGTTGATTTAAAGTCAAAAACTTGCATTGTGTTATTCTAATACAAGTGGCTTATACCCTGTTTTCAGAATTCTTCAGTACATGATATGAAAATCTACCTAACATACAAAAAGATAATAGTTCAAACACTTTATTTTTGCTGCGATAGCTAGTACTACTACTACTACTGCTACTATTGATTTAAATGTGCAACATACTAAAGAACTTACACTGAATTATTTTCAAGCCAGGTTGCCGTAGTAATCCACTTTCACATGTAATTTCAACTACAAACTTAAAATATAATTTTTCTGTGGATGAAGACTATATTTTTACCGATGAAAACAGTTGATAAATGTTATATAAAAAAAACTCTGCAAATGGCAGTGTTGTCGATTTAATTTCAGCAGTTTAGGCCTGAGCCCTATTTTGGACTGTATATTAATTTTTTTTTTTAATATCTTCAGAATCAAGAATCAGCAGCCCTTACCCTTTTAGAAAAATGTGACAGTATAGTTAATATGACAAATATTGAACTGAAAACGTAAGTATGATTTTTGTGTATGTGTTGAAAAAAATTTCGATTTGTTTGTAATATGTATTTATGTTAAAGCTCATCTTAAATACACCGATTACTAACATTATTGTTAATTTTGGCTTTGTTGAGTGAAACATTATCATTGTGTTACCAATATAAAGTTGAAACACCCACGAATAAATAAAATAATGATAGCATTTCATAAGGTATGTTGTAAAAAAATATGCAATTATGAAATTTTATTATTAAGAGTTTTGAAACAAATACCTTTATAATAGGCTTAATTAATACAGCACTCAGTACGTTACAATATTATACTTTAAATATTTTAATCCATTTTCAAAGACAACACTAAGACCAGGTAGTTATAATACTGTCAGACTGACAATGATTTTTAATTTTCTGTACTGTGTAGTTGTAATAGGCCTTGTATGGTCTGATAGTTAAAGCGCTCAACTTCCAACCTGAGAGTTGTGAGTTCAAACACTCATCACCAAACATGCTCATTCTATATGGTTTACCTCTGGGCCAGGCACCTGGGTGTAAAAATTTGTGGTTTATAAAAATACCGGCCGATTCCAAACTAGTTGGGATTTAGGTCGTAAAAGATTCTTAAAAAATATTGTGGTAATTATAATCAACAGAAATACGGCGTACACCAAGAAATGAAACCAATAGTAGTTCTAAAATATGTTTTACAGTTTAGGAGAAATGTTTTCTCTTTGAAGGAGATAAGTACAAATAAATGAATACATTTTTAAGTCTTAATGAAAGTGGTGTTACAGATCTAAAAGTTGTTAATTAATTAATTTTTTATTGGATACTTTTTTTTCTAAGGCCTTTACATATAGCAGCCAGAAATGGCCTTATAACAGTCACCCAAACTCTCTTGCTCAAAGGTGCCAATGTTTTAGCAACAGACAAGAATGGTAAGTATATTTCAGTTTTACACATTTTGTTGGAACTATCGATATTTATTTAAAACAGTAAACCATATGATATAAGTGTTCATTAACGAATCTATTAAGTCTTAAGACTCGGTCTTGCTTAATTTGACCAACCTTGTAACCATCACTTAAGCATGAAATTATATATATATACTATAACTCTTAATGTATTAAATGTATCTTCACGAAATTTTGCAAACATTTAGTAAACGTTACAAACGTTATCAAAATTTTTAATAAAGTTGTTTAATAACGATTTGTATGTTTTTTTCTTCGTGTCTGAAAAGTGACACCTCACAGTGGGAACATTTCCATACACTTACGTATGCACTTGTGGTGCTTTGAATTTGGGCACTTGTAGTTACCTAACCCCCCTTTTTTTTCTCTCCCTGTTTTTGTGAACATAAAATTTAATTTACCCTTCCAATATGCATTTTAAACTTAAGTAATACTTAAACAGCTAGAAGAGAATGTTCTAAAGTTGTTAAATTCTGTGACTGTCAACTCACTAACTGATAAACACCGAATCAAATCCACTGTTTAATGTGTATTGGCACCAAGTTGAACCTTAGAATTGTTTACAGAATGTGTGTAGGATAAGTAAGACAATGTACTTGCTATGATATTGATGTTATACAAAGGTTTCAGGATGCAGATAATATACAAACTTGAATAATAAACTACAGTCTGATACTAGTTTTATTGACATACATTGATAATACAGTTATTTAATTAAATTCTGTGAAACGTTACGACATGCTCAGAAGAGTCAGGCCTATATGTAGATGATTAAAAATAAGGTTTTATCAACATTGTGATTTCTGTAAATGTAGTTTAATTTTCTAAATCTGGCCAAGCTAGAATAGTTTTCAAATTTTAAAGATGATTTTAATGACAAATAAATATGCCATAGATACTGTTGTATTTAAAAGAATTATTATCTGAATTGCAAGCTACTTTGAAAATAAAAATAGAAAATCAGATTGCTTACAATGCAAACAAAACATTTGAAATCAAGTTTCAAAAAAAAAGGTAATAATTGTGAGTTTTTTATGATCTTATTAAAATATTCTTGCATAAAATTGTAAGTTGTTTAACCCTATCACCAAGGGTGACTTACATTCAAACTTTTATTGAGCTGTTTTTTGTTTCTTATACCAATTAGTGTAGCATAAAATCTTAGCTAATAATCCATATTTTAACAGTATACAAGTTTTAAGTTCTTAATTTTATAAGGCAATATTTTAAAAAATCCTGAATTTCCCCTAGTTTGACGCACGTGACACATTTTCTCTAAGAATCTCCTCTTCTCTATTTTGTCCACCACTCCTCCAATAAGTACGAAATTACTCACTACAAAATCATCATTGCTCAGACAGACCATAATTTTTATAGCCTTCAATTTGGTTACAGAGCTATCAAATAGAAAATCAGACCCCTCTTGCCACACCCACTGTCACATCCTCTCTTTCAAGATTTGTTAATATTTCTCTTTTATGTTTAATTCTATATTATCTACAACCAATAGAAAGCCAAGGTTTTCATCTATTAAATGATGTATTATAACATTGTTTTCTGAATGGAGAATTGTCAATTTCACTCTTAGAACAAGCTTCGTTCCAAAGATAACGACTAGCTTGGATGAATTTGTAACGGCTCTTGTCTCTTAGTTAGAAAACCAGAACAATTGTGAGAGTTAGGGGAAATTGTTTACATTTTGCATGTTATTATTCTACGTTATTTGGTGTATTATTTAATTAAATAAAAATTATTTAGTGCATTACTACCATTAGTATAAAAAAAGTGGGGTTAAGTGTTGTTGATAGTAGAAAAAAGAATATTTCTTGTTTTTCGTGTTTGTTCTATATTTATTATTATAAAAGTAACTAAAATCGGGATCTCTTTAGGTTAGTTAAGGTTAGATTAGGTAAAATAAATAATAATATAATAGAGTTGTATAGAGAAAACAACAGATAAGATATGAAGTTTTACTGAAAATAAATGTTTGAAATGTATTTAAGAGGTTTTAGAGATTACACAAATGAAATTAGAGATTTTTGAGATGATTAAAAGTATTTTTAATCTTAACCTGAAAATCACTTTGCACACTTATTATTCAAAACAAATACTCAATATATTCATGGACATATCTTTTTTTATTTAAAATACTTCACTAAAAATATGACTTTTTGTATGTGAAAGACTTATAATGTTTATTGTAAGACTGCCAAATTTTGTGAAGATACACATACTACATTAAAAGTTAGTAGTATCAAATCTATAAAGACTTTAAACGAGTAGAAAGAGTTTACGTGGTCGGTCAAATCAACCGTGTTGAGAGAGTTAATAAAATGTTGTTGTTTTTTTTTTTTAATATGTTCAAACTATTTACATCTTGACAGGCCATACCCCAGCCCTCTCCTGTGCAAGGGATAATGATGTGGCTGAGTGCTTAGCTCTCATCTTAGCTGTGATGCCACTAAGTGCCACTCCTACGTCTTTCCATTCCATTCGCTTGGATAGCTTCTCACCAAGGTGCCGTAAGTAGATTGCCTTCTTCCCTCGATTGTTTTGCTTTAGTTATCGAAAGGTAAAGTAAAAATATCTTCTGTATGTTTTAAAGAACTTAAAGTTACTTATTGTAGAAAGTATACAATTTCTCCTCACAAACTAATCTGTTAAAAACTTCACCTGTATTGTGTTGATTAAAAAACTAAGTTACAAAATGTAACATTTCAATTAAAAATGTTTAAGATCATTAAAACTGCTACAGAATTTTTGGTTATTATTACAATAAGGTATGTATAGCTATTTATGTTTACTTTAATATTTTGAACCATGCCAATAAGCCTCTATCATAAACATTGCATGGTATGAACAATATGGACTAGTATCACCTAGTGGTTAGCATGCCAGACAGTGGATCTAAGATTCCAGCCATGATATGGCAACCTTCTATACTTGTAGACACACAGTAAAAGTGACAGTTGACCCTTGTTTGGATCTAAGATTCCAGCCATGATATTGCAACCTTCTATACTTGTAGACACACGATAAAAGTGACAGTTGACCCTTGTTTGGATCTAAGATTCAAGCCATGATATCGCAACCTTCTATACTTGTAGACACACGATAAAAGTGACAGTTGACCCTTGTTTGGATCTAAGATTCCAGCCATGATATTGCAACCTTCTATACTTGTAGACACACGATAAAAGTGACAGTTGACCCTTGTTTGGAGGTTACTCAAAAGCAAGGTGTAAAATGTATGATAAGTAAAAGTTTTTTATTTTTCACACAAGCATCACCTTGCACCTCGACTCGTCTGAGTCAGACTGACGTCGTCAATTCGCGGACATATCTGGGATACAAATACATTTATAACAAATTAGATTTTAATAAAGCTTGTCACATTTTATCTAGATAATTTGTAATTCATTCTCCTATAGTTTGATCCCTTCGGGAGATTGTTTGCACATTTGTTTGTTAAACTCCTTTTGAGTTTATCTCTAAGGAAGTGTCTAATCACATGTCTGGCTATTTCTGAAATCTTGTGAACTCTTAAGATTTTTCATATATGATGAATTATGACAGATTACTACTGAGTCTTTACCCAACTTGTATGTCTTACAAAACTTTTTTTTTTTCAACACTTTAGTTTTGTGTTATGATGTAATGTTGGTGGCTTTGTTGTATATGTTACTTTATTATTGAATTCAATTAAGCCTTGGGTGTAAGTTTTTCATTTCAAGGATGAGTAAATAAATTTGAATACTTCATAACTGTATCTGAACGTGTTAACGAAGCTCATTGAAGTTTGTATTCGTGGAAGAGGTTCAGCTGTCTGCCAGTTTTGTTAGAGAAGTTAAAAGTAAATTTGTCGTATTACGTACACATAGATGATTTGTCTTCCAGGATTAAGTCGCTGTTTTGACCGACCCTTCGACGGACGTCCAGAAAGCCCCTCAAGCAGTCTAGAAAATAAAGAGTACTCTGGTTCTTACCAGAGCTCCGATTCTGAATACTACTGATACTGTTACAGGTCCAGCCAAAATCTTCATCAGAGATTTGTAGATGATTTATTGGAGTCTGAACTATCACATCTTTCTTTTTTTGGTTTCAGGGTCATATAGACAGAATGTGAGAAACAGTAGGATATTATAAGAATCAGGACATCTATTAAAAACAAACGTACATTGAATGTTTCATTTATATTCCTTGTCTAGTGCAGATAATGGTATATTGTTGTAATTATATGTACATGTATAATGTGTGTTAAACTGCTAAGAACAGTTTGTGCACACACACACACACACACATATATATATCTGGTAATGATAACTGATCATAGATGTTATTGTGGACCAAATATAGTGTCATATGAAACTAGAGTTGTGTTTCCCAGTCATCCTAACATTTCTACCAGTTCGTGGTTGTACTTGTATTTATTTTGATATTTTGTTGTTATTTTGTTATATTAAGGTTTTGTAATAACTGAAAGAAATTTCTTAAATAAATCAAATCTCGTGTTGTTTTTAGTTTGAGAGTTTTTCTTTCTTTATCAAAAACAAAAAGATGATTTTAAATAAATGACTTGTATACAAGGATGTTTAGAATGTATGATAAGAATGGATAACTTCCATGGCAGTTTGTGAGACTTGTATTTGTGTGGAAGACTGGGAGATAAAGATTATTTAAAAGGCTCAGTTTCATTTGTCACATTATCCTCATGTTTATTTGGTGCTCAATTATTTAAGGTCATGCACAGCTGTGTGATGTGTTAATATGTTAAGGTATAACAGAGAAATTTTTCACTTTATTGTATTATTAATGTGTCCACGCTTTTAATATAATACTTACTGTATATGTATTGTACCGTTATTGGGGTTGATCAGTTTTTGTCTGTCTGTGATGCCGTTTCATATAAGCCAGAGCCGTGAGTTCCATACAAAGCCCAGGGACAAGAAGAGTGAATTAAATTTGCTGTTAATTCTCAGGTTTTCAAGTAATAGCTTTGGGAAAAAAAAACCCCTTGTAGTGCCTTGTAGCTTTAAGGAACCAGCTCTTCCTGCTAGATGGTGTTAGTTCAGGGTAACCTAAGGTTGTGTCACTTTGGTAGATGAATATATCCCTTTTATGTGGCAACTTTTGTGGTGATACGGAAAATTCTAGTGTGAGATAAAATATGATGTAATATGTAGAAAAAGGCTTCCTTTTACGAGTCTAATACTCTTTCCTACGTAACTAAAGTATTATGGTTTAGATTACTTATACTTATGTTTACAGAGAGACATCATCTGAATAATATCTTTTGGTATGAGCAATCTGAAAACTACAGAGTAAATAGAATCTCATGATATAGTACCCGTGACTCGCATGAGATATGTGTATATACTTGGAACTATGTCATGAAAGTCAAAACCCATGAAAAAAAAAAGTATTTTGTGGTTACACGATCTTAGTGTGATGACAGATTCATTTCACTTCATTTTCTTATTTTGTTAATCTAGCATTCTTCATTGCATAAAGTAAATAGGTATTTCTATCTCCAAAAAGTTAATTTGAATCAGAAATTAAAATTTTTTTGAAGTATTCATAAACACATTCTGCTGTTCCTAATTTCAAACCTGTTGTTGCAAGGGGTTTCTCTTACTGTGGGTATTATTTTTAATGACTGATTCATAATATATTAATAATTTTGCTTTCTTTTTGTAATTTATATATCACTGTAGAGTCCATTTCAAACTAATGTTTTTTTTCTTTTCTTTTTACAGTAGCTTTATCTTAGATAAAATTGTTAAAAGAAATTTAACAGTTAAATAATTGTGTCAAAAAAAATATTAACAAATTTAATACTATTTTTCTGATGAAAGAAGTTGATTTTTAAACTAAACATCTGAAATCCTTTGCCTGTGCCGTTGGTCACCCTTTCCTGTCTGTGTCCTTTTTCTTTTTCCTCGGCATAACTCCTGTGTATTTCCGTACAAGAGTTCCTGCAACTGCCTTATCAAACTAACATCTTTGTGTCATTTTGCTATCGAGAATTATAAAAATCTTAATTTATGTAGTTGTATGTTAATACTCTTAGAATAGTAAAGCTTTGCATGGTATATTACATCATCACATAAATTTAATCTGTACTTAGAGACTTTTGAATTGTTTAACACCTTTTATTATTATTTAGTGTTTGCTAATGTCATGTCAAACGTAATATTGACTCATACAGTACTTAAACATGTTAAGTTCAAAGTTCGTGCAATACATACATCTGCTGATTTTTTTTGTAAGCATTCAATTTTATGGAATGTATTTTTAAAAAATCAGCCTTCGTTGAGTTATAATCACATAAATTTAAAAAGCAGTAAAATATCGAGCTTTGAACAACAGAACCGTGTAAGTAATTCATTACTTAAGAGAGAATTTGTAGATGGGTGCAGGGGAATGATTCTTGATGCTTGTTTTCTCCGCTACACCCTGCTTCATCTTGTTGATTTTCCGAGATTGTCCTTTCATGTTCTGGTGTGCTACTTTTAATGTGTAAATAATATTTTCCAAAATATTAGGTGTTAGGTAAGACAGTTATGAGAGGTGTCTTGTTTTCTTCTGATAACTGAACGACTTTCGCACCAAATAATGCTTCCTTCTGTTGTACTAATTACATATTTGGTTACACATATTTTCAGTTTTTTTTTCACTCATGATTTGAAATGAATGAGCAGGGACAAACTCACTTTGCTGGGAAAAAAACAACCTATGAATGCTTCCTATATGACAAAGATATTTTAATGTTGAAGGATTTCTGTGGTTTTTACTTCTTTCCTTTTTTTTAATCTTGCTGGTTCAAGCTGCTTAAGATTAATGTAACCAGTCGCAGGTTGACAGTACCTTGTAAATTATCTTGAAAATTAAATTAAAGTATGCATTTGACAGACTGGCAGTGTGACCCGTAATTCTATCGGTAAACGAGCTTGATGAGCTCGTTTTTTTCCGTAATAAACCTCTGTTATTGACAAATAACAAGATAGGTTTATTTAGCTTGGTTAACTAACAACATTTTAGTGTTAAGTGCATATTTTAATTTCTTTCTTTCATAAAATAGGTATTTTAAAGTTAAGAGGAAATGTTTTATACAGCAAGGAGGTAAAAGAAACGGTCTCATGGTCGAAGAAAATCAAGTGTTATTACAGTCTTCTTTTTTTGCATGGACTGCTGCCTTTCCTAAACCTTTTATGTTTTGGTATGTCTTGAAACTTTATGTGATGAACTTTATTCCCACCCTATTCTGATTGTGAAATTATAGCCTCAAAAATGTATATATATATTTGTATCCTCACAAGTAATAAGAAAAACTAATTCTGTATTCCAAGCTACTCAGATATAAAATGTAAGCTGTATATGAACATAGTCTTAACAAATACTCAAGAAAAATATTTTTAAAAGGCCAAATCATTCTACAGAATTATGTAGTGTGTCACATTATTTGATGGTAATCACCCTTTGGCACAAGATCTAGTGAAATGTGGCTCCTAGTCGACAATATATTTTAAAAGTGTTGAAACTGGTGTTATTTGTTTATAAAGAATTGAAAATTTTTCTTTTAATGATGCCTGTCAGTTTTTACTAAAACTGACAATGAAAAAAATAATGTATTTGTTAATTGTATACCTGTCATGATACCTGCATATTCTTGTAGACCCCCTGCAGCTTACCTGGTCATATTAATTTTTGTCTTTTTTAGACATATTTTTAGGGGTTTGTCTTTTTATCGTTTTAGGTTTTTCATTATAAATGTATATTATGAGATACAGATGCAAGATTCTTTAAATTTACACATCATTTTTTATGGGTTTTTTTTTTTCCATATTTTGTACGTCTGTAATACAACTTCCAATGTAGCTATTAAACAATAACCTCTCTCATTGGGCAGGTTGCAATCAAAATAGTGATGCTTGAGATCTGAATCTTATCATAAATAATCAAATTAAAATTTAATACGAGTATCTTGTTGTCTTTTTTTTACACTTTGTCATGTTTTCTAGAACAAAGTCTTTAATCTTAAAAGGAATTAGGTTTTAGGTTATAGAAAAAGATTGTGTATATTAATTTTATAAAATATAACTTCCTTGTACTACTGCTTTTCTAGGTGAGCCACTGGATAACTGTTTCTAAGATCAGAATTATGTTTTTCCTGTTTGTTTTTTTTACCTATATTTGTAACTGAATTCTAACCTCTGTTCTGTGCTTCTTGAGGAATCGACACTTGTGGATTTAAGATGAAAAGTGCCTAGACGTTTAATGTAGTTTTATGTAAAGGGTTCAGTCTGAGCTTGTCATTTACAGTCTCTGTGATACAATTAGTGTCACGCAACTAACTAAGCTTGACAGCTGAAGTGAGATGTTCTTGTTTCTAACACGGCTAAAGAGTGGTACTGGATCAGTATAAATGTAATACTGTCTGCCAAATGCTCATCGTTCATTGAAAGGTAATCATTTCATTTCTTTGTATTGTAATGTTGTTTGTGGCCTTCACGTCCGACTGCTGTTCCTCTACCAAACTACTGTGAGGTAGCTTTAGAAAAAAGTAAGTAAGTAAAGGGAGATTTTTTGTTTTTACGTGTTATTTGTGTCTTGCATGCTTTTGATATTAGATGTGTGTGTTTATGTCTTCAAAAGACTTAATTTGGCTTTCCTTTCACTCATTCACACCCACACAAATATGTCTGGCCTTCCTAACCTGGTGCTCTTCTTACTCTGAAGAATGTTTTATCCTGCCATATTGTGTCTCGGAGTACAGTATTACTGCTCACTCAAGAAACTCAGTCTAAAGCATCGGAACTTTTCTACCATATCATGTAGAACCAGCAATACTTTTTTCACTCTTGTTTTAAGACTAAACAATTTGAACTTAATGATCCACAGTTTCATTTTACGTCTTACCGTATTTTATTCAGTAACCGTGACAGCCACTTTTGATTTTAATTTTTCTCTACTTTAAGCAACAAATAATAAACTTTGTGAGAACTGAATAATAATTTTTCATATTCTAATCTGATTATTTAGCGTCAATAAATGACCATTGGTCAGTGTACATATCTGTTTTCCTATACATTTACTATCAACTGTTTCACTAGTAATGAATGATCATGATAATCATTGCTCATCTTATATTTATAAATGTAGTAGATGCTAAGTCAATGTTAATCTGTATTAGTGAGATTATGCATATGGATAATATATTTATTATGGCAAGTTTTCTTCTTTTTGTAACAAAATTGACCATCTACAGGTTTTTTACAGACTTAAGATAATGTTTCCAGTATTAAAGACTACTGATATTATAACCATGCTTTTAATTTAATTTATATTATGAAATGCCTGCTGTAAAACTAGCAGAGAACTGTTTGCTTTAGTCTTTGCTGTGCCATAATGTTTTAATGAACTCTTAATTCCCAAAGATTAACAAATTCAAGAGGAATTTGTCTCTTAATATAACCAGTGAGAGAAAGACTTTAATATGAATAAGTATGTATTTTGTAAATGAAAATGGTTATGGAAAATGTAGCGTGTCATTGTTAAAATATTTCAACTGATTTTTATTTATAATCAGTTGCTGTTTTTTTAAATTTCGTACAGTTTAGTTTGTGATTAATAAAAAAATTGTACATTTGAGAAAGCAAAAACTGAGTATTTATATTAGAGATACATGTTTTGAAAGTAGCCAGGAGATCATATGCTGGCTTGTCATATTATCTATCATTTACAAAGGGGTAAATAGTTTGACATTCTATGTTCAAAATGAATGACATGTTTCATTATCTCACTCGTAAAAGTTATGGGCTAAACAGCTGTCAAAAGTTGGGATGGGAGTTCATTTGAGAAAGCAAAAACTGAGTATTTATATTAGAGATACATGTTTTGAAAGTAGCCAGGAGATCATATGCTGGCTTGTCATATTATCTATCATTTACAAAGGGGTAAATAGTTTGACATTCTATGTTCAAAATGAATGACATGTTTCATTATCTCACTCGTAAAAGTTATGGGCTAAACAGCTGTCAAAAGTTGGGATGGGAGTTACTGACTTTTTATATTACCCGTCACTCTTAAATGCTTTGAGTTGTTTCACTATCTCTCTCTCTCTCTCTCTGAAGCTATGACCCGTCTTTTTTGCTTACATTGCAATAACACCACTATATGGACTTATTTTCCTTTCATGGTTTGATATGTAACTATGTGGTCACTTTAGACCTTGTTTTTCTGGCTTTAACTCCATATCAT